GTGCTTTACTGTTTCACATCCAGTAGGGACGTGAAGTTTCATTGTGGGAGTTGCAAGATTTTGCAAGTCTTCAGTTCTCAGATCTGTTTGCCATTAAATTGGCAAACAAGAAAAGAAAACAATGTCTTTTGTTGTGGATATGTTTTTATACTCCGCAGCAGCGTTAACAAACCAGGTGGAAAAGTTACCTTTGTTTTCTAGTGATGGGACTTGTACATAAGCTTGCATGGGTCACCTCATCAGATGTGAAGAGGATAATAATTTTACAGACTCCTTATGGTGAAATAATTTTTTGTTTCTTTGGCTTTAAGGTGCCTCAAGAGTCCTGTTTATTTTCTCTGCGACAGATCAACGTGGAATTAAACAGGCATTTTTTGTTACCTTAAAGACTTAGGGTGCGGTCAGACGGCATGCTGGGGGCGGTTTAAATTACTCCGGTCCCGATGCGTTGTTTTTTTTAACCTGGAGAATCGCGATCACACTCACCACCTTGTTCCGGATTGCTGCGCAGCCACATCGCTACCCGCCGTCCACACGGAGGAGCGTGTGTCGGGTTTCCCCCCCCCCTCTCAGTTTGGGCATGTGCACAGGTGGCCAAAATTTTCATGCGTGCACAGAACAGCAATTTCCACTTCAACCCAACTGCTGTAACACTTCCCTTTAAACTTTAAAGGAACACTTCCCTTTAAACTTTTACCCCGAAACTGGCCTCTGTGAGATCCCGAACTCGTCTAACCAACAAAACTAGGCACTGTTTAAACATTGTTTTTAATAACGCGGGAGTGGAGCTCCGCCTGTGCGCATACCGCAGACGCTAAAATAAAATGGCGGGCGAAGAGCGGAAGTCTCAGGCTTCCGAGCGGAAGTGGCTGTACACCACAGGAGTGATCAGACGTCAGAGAAGTGCGGCTAGAACCGGAGAATCAGGAAAACTCCCCTAGGGGACCTGGTAACAAAATATTCCATTTTAAAGGGGGTTTGAGCTGGAAAGCAACGGCTGGGGACGGTGCGCAGATGTTGTGTGTGTGAACGTGGATATAAAATCCGTCACTGAAGCGTGCCGAAAGCGGACTAAACGGCCTGTCTGAACGCACCCTAAGAGTGCTTAAAATTTTTTGACACAGAGTTTCTAGTGGACTTTGCAAAAGCTTATGCCAGAGTTTTAAAAATTGTGGTTAGTCTTCAGGGTGCCATAAGAATCCTTTATTTTCTGCAGTGTCACCCTAACACAGTGATGGTGAACCTTTTAGAGACCGAGTGCCCAAACTGCGACCCCAAACCCACTTATTTATCGCAAAGTGCCAACGCGGCAATTTAACCTGAATGCTGAGGTTTTACTTTAGAAAAAACAACTCCTACATTAACTTAAGATGATCCAAACAAAGTAAGGAAAGCAATCCCAAATGCTTTCATTTCCTTAAAATTATTTGGCAGAGAATTTGACACTTTAATGACGGTCTCAGCCTGGCTGGGGCGATGGCGCGCATGCCCCACAGAGAGGGCTCTGAGTGCCACCTCTGGCACCCGTGCCATAGGTTCGCCACCACTGCCCTAACACAACCATCCCCTTTGGAATAGGAATGGAAATACCCCAATGGATTTGAGACTAGGCCCAAATAGGTTGCAGAGGCTTTAAAATACAAGCTGGCAACTGATGCCCCCTGGGCCAACTCCAGCCCTGCACCGTCGCGCTGTATTGACCTCCAAAGTGCCATCCCCAGACCCTGACGGGTGGTGGAGGGGTGGAAGCTATGGACCTGGGACTTGGGGGGGGGGGGGGCTGTCCCATATCTTTAACAGAGTTTTTAATACGCAGAAATCTGCCTCTGAAGCTTTTTCACAGTGCGGAGCGAAGCACTATTGCCCCAGTATTTTGCTGCAGATCAAACTGATTTTAAAGAGAAAGCTAGAGGCACTCGGTTGTTTTTTTAAATGGTCTTTCATACAGTTGCCAACCTCCAGGTGGTGGCTGGGGATTTTCTGGGATTACAACTTGATCCCCAGGCGGCAGAGATCAGTTCCCCTGGAGAAAATGGCCGCTTCTTTAAGAAGGACCAAATGGCATTATATTACCACGCTAAAGTTCTTCCCGTCCCCAACCCGCACCTTCCTCAGGCTGTCCACTCCCAAAATCTCCAGGTATTTCCCAACCCGGATCTGGCAACCCTAGGCTTTGGCCTATCACTTCGTAGCCAGACTTGCTCCTTGCGCAGCAGGGCCTTATAGGCCTTGGTTGCCAGGCAACGGCGTAGGCCTCACAACCTCAGAGTTTACAGTATCACTGGCAGTAGCAAATTCCCCCCCCTCTTGCCTGCCCTATGGTGTATGTGGGGGAGTCAGGGCAAAATATTTGACTCTCCTTTTCGTCATAAGCTCTTGGAGCAGGAGTGGATAATTCTTTATCTACCACCACCCGCCACTGATGTTAGTTCTGCTCACACTCTCGGGGGAAGACATTGTTGGGCTAGTCTTGAAGCACCCAAAGGGAAAAATTACCATTCACCGTTGTGTTTTCTAGCGCAGTCCCGAGGAAATTTGGGGTGGCGCTAGAAATGTGCCTAAAGACCTCTGGGACTTTTAATAGAAAGTGATTGGGGGCAACCGGTTCACATTTCCGCCAAAGGCTAGTTTGCTGCGAGGAGCAGGGCCTTTTCCGTCGTGGCATCCTTCCTGTTGTATGCTCTTTTTCCAGTCACACGCCAGGCGTCAGACTTCATGAAGTTGCAGCAACAGGTAAAAAATATATGTGTGTGTGTGTGTGTGTTCACCTTAGCTTTTGACTCATCATGGTGTATTTGGTGCCTGTTGTATGCTCTTTTTCCAGTTACACGCCGGGCGTCAGACTTCATGAATTTGCAGCAACAGGTAAAAAAAAAATATATGTGTGTGTGTTCACCCTAGCTTTTGACTCATCATGGTGTATTTGGTTGTTTTACTTGTGGTTTTACTGCTATATTGGGTCAGTTGGTTAATTCATCCGTCGCCGCGCCAAGTTGGTTTCCTGTGCTGCCATTCTGCTTATGGTAAAATCGAGTGCTTCGTTATATTCTTGTTATATAGGGTTGCCAACTCTGGGCTGGGACATTCCTGGAGATTTTTCTTTGGGGGGAGGCTTAGTGGGGCATAATGCTGTAGACCCCACCGTCCAAACAGCCATATTCTCCCAGGGAACTGAACTTTTTTGTCTGTAGATCAGTTGTAATGAACTTTGGTTCATTTATGGCTGTTGCTTAAAAGCATGCTGGGAAAACTGCTAAGGCTTATGGCCGTGGCTTCCCAACTATGGCTGTGCATCAGTTAGCCTAGCTAAATGGAGAATAACACCCTGTAACCATTTTAGCTATATAGATACATTTAGAGCTCCATGGCCTAAGGAAAAAAAGCTTCTATTATTGTTTAGTAAAGGTAAAGGTTCCCTTGCTCGAAAGCCAGTCGAATCCGACTCTAGGGTTGCGGTGCTCATCTCCGTTTCAAAGCCGAAGAGCCAGCGCTGTCCGAAGACGTTTCTGTGGTCATGTGGCCGGCATGACTAAACACCACGGCGCACGGAACGCTGTTACCTTCCCACTGAAGTGGTACCTATTTATCTACTTGCAATTTCTTGCTTTCGAACTGCTAGGTTTTAAGGGGAAAGAACTTTGCTTGGGAAGACCCAACCCACAGGTCTTAACCCAATTAAAAATTGGTGACGAAGTTTAATGGAACCAATAGGTATGCTTTGCTTGCTTATATTGAATATAAAATGTTATGTCACCCATTGTAACTTTGGAAAAGCTGATGGGTATTCGAGGGTCCCAAAAACGTCTGCTGTAGCTTTTTGGTGAGGTTGTTTATTCATTTTACTGTGTCACGAACCTCCTGGAGAGCCTTTGGGCTGAAGGGTGGGGTAGAATTTTAAAAATTAAAGTAAGTAAATAAATAACAGTACATTTTGGTTCGTCTCTGGAGGACTTGATTGTATCGATGGATCCCTGTCATTTCTGTTTTGCCTGGCCAGAGTTAAAGATTCACATGGCCTTCTGAAAGGATGCTACCAGATTTTTAAACTCGTGCTCGGAAAACAAAAATTACATATGATTTTGTTGTGTTTTTTTTTTAATTATCATTAATACAAAAAAATACACCACTTCAACAAAGACACCCCCCTAAATCTGCTCTAAAGTATGATATATTAAATCAACTCTTACCCCTTTTCCCAACAGAAAACACAAATATTTAAATATAAAGCCACTTTTCTTTTTTTAAAAAAAATCTGAAATATATTGTCCCTGCTCGTCTTCAGCCTGAGGCCTAAATTGTCTTTGGCGTAACCAACCCCCTTTGTGTGTGTAACAATGGAGTCCTGCCACGTACAATTCTGACCTAAATTGGGAGGGTTTGAGAATCCCGAGACAACAATTCAACCAGTGACTGTAACATCATTGGAAAGGCACACTTCATTGGACCGAGGAGTGGTCGCCAGCACAGTCCACTCTGTGGAATTTCCTTTCTTATGTCCTTTTTGACGTACACGTCGATATCTCCCCTCTTGGGTGATTTTGAGCTTCTTTTGTAACTGTAGAATTCAGACTGCAGTCCGCCATTTTGAAACGGTAGCATTTGTACTTGGAGGGCCTATGCTAGCAACAGTCCCAACTGCTGGAAGATGCCGTCAGAAGAACACATCAATGGCCGTCCAACTGGCCACTGGTTGATGGCAACGAGGACTGAAATTCCTTCCTGCTCCCTGGTCATTATGGGCAGGTGAATGCATACGAACGGAAGCTTTTCAATGGGCGGTTGTCCACTCTGTAGAAATATCGGTCTTGGAAAGCAAAGTGTTTCATCGTGATCTTGACAGACCAGGCCGTTGGCTGCGTTCTCCTTTCGACTGCCCTTGCTGTATTTGGTCCTTGGCAGCGAGTGGGAATATCTCATTGATGGTCTTGCTGGTAATTTTGGCAGGAGGTAGAGATCTCTCTGGCCTCCTCCTTTCTTGCATTATAATACCGCCCTGAGCCTTACGAGGCATTGAGCAGGGAGCGGCTGTACAGGCTCTGGTAGTACGAGCCAGTCTCACTGAGCGAGGTGGATGTCTCGTAGGTGTGTTTGCCTTCCACTGCGTGTGGAGAGTTGTAACCATTGAAAGCCATCGTCTGCTCATAGGATTTCAGGTCGATCTTGTGGCTCTGCTCTGTCGACATCAGGTTGTTGATGGAAAAGGGGTGGTTGAAGTTGAACTGAGGGTCCATTTTGAGGTCACCCGGAAGGTCCAGGTTGGTGATGGATGTGGAAAAGTAGTGGCTATTCATGGACTGGGAGATGGGGGCTGGGGGAGTCTCAGACATGGGGGGCGAACCCCGTGCACCTGAGCAATCCAGCTGGACCAACCCCCTCTGCTCCTCGGACCCGTGGGAGGTGTCCGAGTGACCCGATTCGGCCCCTTCCGAATTTGTGTTGGGGCTCTGCCCTTCCTGAAGACCTTCAGAAATCTTGGGTGGTTGCTCTTGGGTGCTGGAAGCCTTGGAGCCGGATTTCTTGGTCTTGTCCTCAATCTTGAAACGCTTCTGGCGCCTCAGGTAGCAGCCGTTCTCAAACATGTTCCCCGAGTTCGGGTGGAGGGCCCAGTAGGATCCCTTGCCGGGCTTGTCGGGGGAGCGGGCCACCTTGACGAAGCAGTCGTTGAAGGAGAGCGAGTGGCGGATGGAGTTCTGCCAGCGCTGCTGGTTTTCGCGGTAGTAAGGGAAGAGGTCCATGATCCACTGGTAAATCTCGTTGAGGGTCAGCATTTTACTCGGGGCCTGCTGGATCGCCATGGTGATGAGGGAGATGTAAGAGTAGGGCGGCTTGGCGTGGGTCAGCGTGCGCCGGTAGGACTTGCCGATCTCCTTGGGCCTGTTGATGCCGGAAGGGGAGTAGCTGAGCGGCGCCATCGACTGGCCGACATTCTGGTAGGGGGACAGAGAGTTGAGTGTGGGGGCCTGAGCCCCCAGGGAAGTCAATACCGGACTGACGGGAGACGACACAGACGGGAGGCCCATCGGACTGCTGGCGTTGGTCAGCCCCGTGAGAGAAGGGCTATTCAGGCCACTGTTTGGGTAAGTCATATTCATCGATCCGGGGGAGCTGAGAGGGTTCAGCGTCACGTAGGAGTTAATCGGGTTCATAGGTCCCAAGCTGGATGCCATGGTGCTCACTGTTGGAAATACCTGAGGGAAACAAAGAAAGGGAGGGCGTCAGTAGAGATTAGTTCATGGAGCACGTCAGGAATAGATGACCCAGACGTTCTATGCTTTTCATGGTTATACACAGTAGTAATTTCCTGCGGGAGCGCACAGGAGTGGAGCTCCGGCAGTAAGGAGCCCAGGGGGCGGGGGCACATGCAACAAGCCCCGCCCCCTGCTCCCAGCAGCCCTCAGTCGGGCCACGAGGAGCAAGAAGCAGCCAGGTAAGTTGCAGAGCCCCCCCCCGGGCCGCCTTCAGGTACAAGCTCTCCCTCCTCTGTGAGGGCACATCTGCACGTCCCACCTCCTCATAGCTAGCAATCCAAAACAGTCCAGTGGCACCTTTAAGAACAAGTTTTATTTAAGTACAAGCTCTCCCTCCTCTGCGAGGACAGATCTGA